GTATGCACTGACAACCAGGGAGCAGACACTCAACGCAGGAGCTGCCCCCTGGTGGTCAGTGCGCTCCCATGGGGCCCGCTCTGTCAGCCTGAAGGCTGTGAGCACAGTGGTTTTGGCCACAGCTTCTCCCGTCTCTGTGGCAGCGCTTAGGACCCCTTGGGGGATGTCCGACTGCGGGGAGCTGGCTTAAGCCGGCAGGTGGACATCCCCTGAGGGGTCCCAGACTGAGAGAGGGCATAGGCCAGGCTGAGGGACGGCCCCCCCCCAGTGCACAAATTTTTGTGCACCGGGCCTCTAGTTTTTAAAATAAAAGAATCTGAGAACAGATAATTATAAGATCATATTCAAGTTTCAACTAGTGTTAGCCATGCTGATTTTTGCTATGATTCTGAGTGCTTATGTTTCATTAAATTTAATCTATCCTTGGTTGAAAAAACAGGAAGGATAAAAATAGACCAGTATTGAAATAATAATATTGCCCATGGATTTGCCTTAGGATGACTTTCTAGAAATCGATTAATATTTCTCTGATGAGAATTGTTATACAGTATGATGTTTCAATATTCAAAAAAACAAAAATTTAGTGGTAAAATGGAAAATATAGTGCTGGTTATAAACTACTCCAACATAGCATCCTGAGACTTAATCACTTACACAAAAAATAACAAACCAGCTAGTAGTTTTAACAGGAAATAAACAAAATTTCATATATCAGGTCAGGAAAGCAATGTATGCTTATTTTTGAAGCTATAACATATTCTTTTGTTTTTAAACCATAAACAATAAATTTTAAAATTGATTTAACAAAACAATTGAGCTTCTTTACAAACTAAAGGGCATGACTTACTGAATTTAAAGTGTAAATTTAAAGAATTCCTAAAATAAAATTTACATAAAGTCATGCATATTGTACTAAGATGTGTTTCAACTCCAAATAAATTCTTTTTACATACCAGAGAAAATGATGGATAATAAAACCAATTCCTATGTAGTATATGAGAAAAATTCCTACAGAGTATATGGAAATGAGATTTGTACAGCTAAAGAGTTTAAAAAATCTGACTTAAGTGAAAAATTCCTATATATTAAAAGCTTAATATGCTAAGTGTCTGGTTGACTGATAGGCTGTCCAACCAATCAAAATGTAATATGCTAATAATATGCTAAGGCCGCTCAATGTGCGCTGACCTCTAGGGGGCAGTCGACCAGTAGGTTAGCTTGCTGCTGGGGTCCGGCCAATCAGGACTGAGCGAAATGGGCCGGACATGCCTTAGAGCCCTCCTATGGCCCCACCCCGGCTGGCCAACCTCACATGTCCCTCCTCAGCCCTGATCGTGCACTGGTAGGGTCCCTTAACCTAGCCTGTGCCCTCACGCAATCTGGGACCCCTCAGGGGATGTCAGAGAGCTGGTTTCGATTTGACAGCAGAACAACCAGTCACTATGACGCGCACTGATCACCAGGGGCAGACGCTCAACACAAGGACTGCCTCCTGGTGGTCAGTGTGCTCCCACAGGGGTAGCACCGCTCAGCCAGAAGCTGAGCTCATGGCTGGCAAGCGTAGTGGTGGTGGCAGGAGCCTCTCCCACCTCCGCAGCAACGCTAAAGGTGTCCAACTGCCTGACTGTGAGAGGGCGCAGGCCAGGCTGAGGGACTCCCCCCAACCCCCACCAAATGCACGAATTTCATGCATTGGGCCTCTAGTGAATAATATAACCTTTCATGATCTAAGCCCAAAGATTTAATAAAATAGTATTCTAAAATGCTAATACATTTTTTCAAAGTAAACATCTGAGAAATGGAGGCTGTAAAACATTATTAGCAAAAGCTTCAGTAAAAATTACAAAATATAAAATAATGAGCCTCAAAATGTCATAAATTATTAAGATAATTATACACTATTATAATACAGGAAATGTAAAAAAACAGTAGAATCATTTAGAGAACTAAGATAGAGAAAGGCAACCCCTGACAACCAGGAGATATCAAAAAAGGTCATTCTGTGACCATGATGGATCAAGACAAAAACAAGATCACTCTAGAACATGTGTGACCACACCAAAACATAAAGCTATAGAGTATTACATATAATTATGTATGTAAACACACACACACACACACACCCACACACACATTCTCTCTCTCTCTCCTCTCTCTCTCTCTCTCTCTCTCTCTCTCTCTCTAGTGGCCCAGTGCATGAAATTTGTGCATGGGGGGAAGAGGCATTCCCTCAGCCCAGCCTGCACCCTTTCCAATCGGGAACCCCTTGGGGGATGTCTGACTGCTGGTCGGACATCTCTACCTGCGATCCCCCTAACTGGCAGCCGGACATCCCTCTTGCAATCTGGGACCACTGGCTCCTAACTGCTCACCTGCCCGCCAACCTGATCCCCCTAACTGCTCTCCATGCTGGCCTGAG